GAAAACCGCCGAAATCGGCCTCACAGGTACTATACGAGCGAGAACTCTCGTTTTCGATGAGGGAGGTGTAGGAAGAAAAGATCAGACACGTTTGGATGTAAAAAAAAAACAAAATCTTATCATCTCATTCGTCACGTTAAAATCTTTTTTTCGTGTGTTCTGATCTTCACGTTACGATTTTAACTAAAGAATGAAAGACGTAGAATTGAAAACAATGTCGGAAAAGCAGAAGTCTTCTGGTAAAATCTGGAATATTTTTTTTTTTTTGTAGACCATCGCAAGCGTTCTATCCGTGTCCTCCGCCAAACGCGGACAAGGAGCAGCAGGAGTTCGATCCTTTCGATTATATTAACACGATTGTAAGCACACAACTCCCTTCTTAGCAACGGACTTGATCTCTCGCTCTTTTGTCGCTGTTTGAAAATATACGCCGCACTTGCATGCGACTGAGAAAGGTTTTTCTATCAGCTGCAGCAAAGCCGCCTGTGTGCGTGTACAAAACGTTCTCTATGTTCTCTCTTGAAGAGATACGCGCGCTTTAATTCCGGATTATTTTGCGAATTATTGCGCGAATCAATCGAATATTCTTCGCAAATCGGCGATGCATTTCACACGAATTGTTGCAAACTCTTCTTTAATGTTGATAACTGCAGAACCGGGTTTATAATTAAACTCTATTGCCGTTGTGTTTCGTAGACGAAGCCCAGACAAAAACGTCGCTTGCCAAAAATTACTGCGCGCATTATATTTCTCGAATATTTTATTTACTATTTCATTTCTATTCGTTACGTGATTCTCGCGACGCACATACCCCGTGTTACATCGGAAACGCAAATTTGTCAACTACTAAGTTTCGCGCGTTCGAGAGATATGCTCGCTATTTCCTCTTACATGTTGCATCTTATATATTTCGTCGGTTAATTACAATAATTTTTGTAATTATCGCATTTTTTTTAAAGAGGGAGGAGGAGGGAAACAACGCTCTCCGCCGCGAAATCCGCGAATCTCGCGTCCGAGATTTTCCTCGTCCTATAACACTGAACCCGATACCGCGACCTTTGAACAATTGCCAAGTGGGCGAGAGAGACTACATTTACAAATAAACGTTTCGCGAGACGTGACCGTTGTTGAATATGAACGCGAGATCAAAGAAGCCGTATATATATACTTTTATCTTCTTTTTATTTACTATCGCGAAATACGTACGTTTACGCGTTAATGTCGATTCGACAGAATTAAATCGATCGTTCACTCGACGAAAATTCGCGAAACTTCACAATCTCTATCTCGTCGACACCCGAAAGATATTCGATAGAACTCCAGAACGCGCGCGCGTTTACTTGGCAAGAATGTATGCGTGTGTGTATGTGATGGACCTTGACTTGTCTGATACGTGTCACACGACAGAGAGAACATATCATCCGTGTCTCGTTGCGATGACCGGTTCGCACGCGTGTCGAAATCTTTGCGCGAATTTAGAAGCACCGGCACAAACCGAAAATTATTGTTTAGAGAAAGGAATACGAAATTGGAATACATTTTCTCTCTTTGTTCAGCGAGACAGAAGAGCGGAGAACGTTTCATGTATTTGCTTGAAGACGTATCAACCATTCGTATTCTGAGAAGTATGATATAACATCTCTCCGTACGTCGCGAAACTATAATCAGCGCTTTTCTCTTCCTTGTTAATTGCGTTAACAAAAATATAATGTACGTTGTTGACAACCCAATAAATATTCCACGATACTCGGGTAGGCGATTTATTTCGTCGAGTGAAAAAATGGAGACAAAACGCGCGTTCGCGCGATTTATTGCGAGTTTCTCTCCGCAATGTTGTATATCCGGAATATATTATATACGAACGCCTATTTTCAACGTCTCTCGGCAAATTGAAAATACCGAGATTGACGCTGGTATTTCGCGAAAACAATGCGTTTTGTGTGACGCGATGACCGCGCGCGGTCCGTCACAAGCGCGCGGCTTAAAACCACGCGCGGTAAAACGATTCGTATTAGCCGCCGCAATTAACCAGTTGTTCGGCTGCCAACGAATCGCGAACACTTTTCGCGCCCGTCGCAATTCGCGGCGGTGTAAAATGCGAAAATTTCAGCGACACGCACTTCTCGATGTGAATTCGAAAATTCTCATGCGCGCGCGCGCGCGTAAAATCTTTCGCGCGCAATTGCTCCGCGGCAGAGTCGACAATAAAAATAAATTGTGAATCGGTTTTTGGTTGGTATCATTATCAAGATAAGACATTAATTAACAATCACAAGTTGCGATTTAAATTTTGTAAAAAAGATATTTCTCACGGTACAAAAATTACTTGTCCTCTTTGTGCGAAGCACGGAAGAGACAGAATTCAGGAAATACTTTCTAATGACGCCCGTAATTGCGCGCGTTCGCGCGTATCAATTCATAGCGAGGTTGGTGATGTAAAGGAGTACACGCGCGCGAGTATATCTATCTTTGCAGCAACGTCTTTCCAAGCAACGCTTTTATAACGCGCGAATGGCTCTTAAGGACTCGTTATGCTTATCGAGCACGCGTGACCAGCATGAAGAAATCTTCTCTTGTTACCTCTCTGTATATACAAACACACACACACACACGTATATGATATATTATATTACACATATTATACACATTATACGCACATTATACACAATTTGCACTTTGAGCTTCTCTGTTCTCCGTAGAGACGAAACGCACATTGTTTAGTTTATTACTTTTTCCTCGCTATTGCATACTGGAATACAGAGGATGAGTCAAAAAAAAGAAAAAAAACATTTTTATTTGTTAATTTTGTCGTATCGATTTGTAACAAAAAGAATTCCTGTCACATCCAACCTTAATTAAAAATTTCTATTATTTTTATTAAAAACTATTAATATTTTTATTGAATAATAAAAATAAAAAAAGAGAGAGAGAGAGAGAGAGAGAGTTACTTAAGTCTCAAAGATGTAAGTTCTTAGCAGTTGAGATTTAGAAAGAAGAGGGGAATGTGATTGCCGAGTGGAACGTGGCCATTGACGTCACGATTTGTACACATAGTCGCTCAGGTGTCGCCTATATTTCAACGTAGAGAAAATTGGATTTATCTAATTTTATCTAATCTTGTACTGTATATGCACTCGTGCAGATTCGCAATCGAGAACACACTTCTTATATATATACGTACATTTTATCAGCGTTTATCTCTCGTTTATTTTTTGACGTAAATATATGTTAATAAAATGTATGCGGGTGTAGAACAAAAAAAGATGGATTACCAGACATGCGATTAAATTGAATCTGAGATAATCCGAGACAATCTCGAAATTTATTACGCGATCGCTGGTGTGCCACACCCCAGCAAAATATAACAAATGGATACACGTCTCTTACATTGTGTCGTACACATATTTATATCCTCAACGAGACGTTGTGACGCTGCCAAAATAAAGTGTTGTCAGTCAAAATCGAAATCACTGACTGTTATTGAGTCGAAATTGAAACTCCTTTATTGATTTTTGTTAACAAGATCTTATATCTTGTATACAAGATAAATCTTCATACAATTATATTATATCTCAAAAGACGGGGGAGATAATCTGTAAAATTATTGTGATAAAAGAATTATTCCGCCGATTTTTATCGCTGGTTTTACATTCGTTATATTTCTATTGTCAGTTTAAAACAGTCCGTGTTCGGTAAACACACACAGTAAACAGCACAGTTTTTATTCGATCGACATGAAAACAACGTGTGTTCATAAGTAAATAAATTAGTGTAGTGCTCGCGATCGGGATTATATAACGATTATTAAAATTGACAATTAAATGAAAAAGCGACAAATAATGTCTGATTTGTGTGGAAATATTTCTGTGATAAATAAATTATTTCGTAGTTATTGTATATACGTGGTGGTGCGTGATAAAGGAAGGCCGACATCTTAAATAAATCTAAGATCGTGCGACATTCACAGCGTTTAGATAAACCATCGCAGCTTATGCGACAATAAACAATAGGACTTCTCGCCCTGTCGACGCTGGCCGAGCGATGCTAAGAATAAGACTTTTGACCGTTGCCAAATTTCAACAAATATTCTCGCTGAAATTTCAAGTAGACACCCACGAGACGTCGTTGTTTAGACGCTCCCACTGCTCGCGTTCACTGCACCACGTGCCGACTTCCAGACTTGCCGTGCGTTCGCTTTGGACGCTTACGAGCTTTAAGCATCGGTCTGTCTTTATTGTTCTTTAAATATAGAACAAAGATAGACTGAACACACCCGTGATTAGTATCAAAACGAATCACGTGGTACTCTACGCGCGTAGTTAAAAACGAAACGGAATGGTGGGAGAAATCAGTCTCAAAATCTTGCATCTTGTTTTAGTTCGAATTAGTATGCATGTTTGCACGGATGCATTTTTTGGATAAAGTTAGGTAAAATTTATTTCAAAAAACTACTTCTTCGTAATCAAACTGTGAAAAATGTCTTGAGTGACAAAGTGCATGTGAGAGTGAGAGAATAATATCAAATAAATTTGTAATAAATATTTAAAAAATAATGAATATCGGTAACAACAGTGCAAAAACTTTATCATCATTAAAAACAATAATTAACAAATTTTATTTAACATGAAAAGTACAAAAATTATTTAAAATATGAACAAACTTATTTTGCGTAAAAAAAAACATTGAAAGCTTGTTTGGCACTATGCAATTAACGAATACCGAAAGCAAGCATAGTGACACTTTTCGTTCGACTTTTATGCCAACCGCTTTGGTCTTGAACAGAGCGTATTTCGTCTGCAATGATAATTATCTTGTAAGTGCACGATTTTTTTTTTTATTGAACATATTAATCACAATTTGTATCACAAATGTTGTGTTTTGGTTTTGCGAATCGAAGAAAATTGTTTTATTCTCGTCGTCTCTCGTTTTTCGCTCAATTCGATCAAAATGGCACTCGATAGAATCAAAATATTAAAGCGAAATGAGGGATGTTTGTGCAGATGTATGGTCGTTATACGAAAGATCTGGGTGAATACGCGAAGGAAGAGGCACGGAGACTTAAGTATCAAGAGAAAGCGAGACGAAAGTATGACAGGACCGAGGATCTGCGAAAGTCCAGACGAGGTCCTTTGTGTCGAAAAATCCTGGCCTTCCTGGCTTTTCTGTGGAAACACACGGGCGCGCGACTCGGCGAGGACTGGGTCTTCCTGGCGCTTCTCGGCATTATCATGGCTCTCATCAGTTATTCCATGGATCGCGGTATCTCTATGTGCAATAACGGTCAGTCTGCTGTTCTCGTTGATTCAAATTTTTTCAATTAACCGAGACGATTTCGTATTAACGATGATCTCGTCTCACCAGCCAGGATATGGTTGTACCAGGATCTCACGACGCAACCGGCTCTCAAGTATCTGGCCTGGGTGTCCATGCCCGTGTGTCTCATTCTCTTTTCCGCCGGTTTTGTTCACATTGTCGCGCCGCAAAGCATCGGATCAGGCATCCCGGAAATGAAGACAATCCTACGCGGCGTCGCGTTGAAGGAGTATCTGACTTTCCGCACTTTGATAGCCAAGGTAAATCGGACAAATGAGAGAGATAAAACATCTCGTCGATGATATATAATCCACTCAGTAAAACATACCGAGGAGTATATTTAAAAAAAAAGGCGAATACTCGACCCTTAATTGTTGTTTAACAAACTTGATCTGATTATTATCATTTTTTTTTTTCTATTTTTGTTAGGCAAAATCTTATTTTAATCTCGCAAATAAATGTCTAAGTTCACTGTTTTGTTAACGTTTTGTTGTTTCAATAATTCCGAAGGTGATCGGTTTGACAGCGACTTTGGGTTCTGGACTGCCTCTCGGAAAGGAAGGTCCGTTCGTGCACATAGCTAGCATCGTCGCGACGCTTCTCTCCAAGCTGACGAGCTTTCAGGGCATTTACGAGAACGAAAGCAGAAACTGCGAGATGCTGGCCGCGGCATGCGCCGTGGGGGTTGCCTCGTGTTTCGCGGCGCCGATCGGCGGCGTTCTTTTCAGCATCGAGGTTACCACGGTGTATTTTGCCGTCAGGAATTACTGGCGCGGTTTCTTCACGGCGGTGTGTGGCGCCACGATGTTTCGCCTGTTGGCGATCTGGTTTCAGCGCGAGGAAACGATCACGGCGATGTTCGCCACCAATTTCACCATGGACTTTCCGTTCGATCCGCAGGAACTCTTCGTTTTTGCCCTGATCGGCGTCGGCAGCGGGCTGCTCGGAGCTTTTTACGTCTGGCTGCATCGTCAGTACGTTATCTTTATGCGTAAGAACAAGAGCATGAACACCTTTCTGCAGAAGAAGTAAGTGACTCGAAAAAAATGAGCTTGAATCTAAATTATTGTAATTAAATTCTAATTGCGGGATTTAAATGAGAGATTTAATTGCTGTTATCTTCAGCCGCTTCCTCTACCCGGGCATCGTGTCTCTCTTGGTCTCGTCGGTGTCGTTTCCACTTGGACTCGGTCAGTTTATGGCCGGCGATCTGAACACGCACGATCAGGTTTACGGACTTTTCACAAATTTCACCTGGACGAGGGAAAATCTCGGTGCCGAGGAAATGAATATCGTTAAGCACTGGGCGACCCCGTACACCGACGTCTTCAGCGGGCTCTTGAGTTTCGTTTTCGTTAATGTAAGATTCTTATTTTCAGTAAAACAACTTGAGTTAAAAAAAAGAAAGTTGCGAAAACACTAAATACAATTTCCGATTGTTTTAGTTCATCTTCTCTCTATCGTATCTTTAGTTTCGCAATCGGAAACTAAACGGGATTTCCGATTTTTTTAGTTCATCTTCTCTATCATATCTTCCACCATTCCTACTCCGTCCGGAATTTTCATCCCTGTTTTTAAAATTGGCGCTGCTCTAGGAAGAGCAGTAGGAGAGGCCATGGCTCTCTGGTTTCCCACCGGTGTGCGCTATGGCGGGATAATTACTCCTATTATACCGGGTGAGTAATTGAAATAATAAAATTGACAGATAGGGATCACAGCTTCGAAATATTACAAAATTTTAATAATAATTTTCAGGTGGATACGCCACCGTTGGCGCGGCTGCATTTTCCGGCGCTGTGACACACACGATTTCCGTCAGCGTAATTATCTTCGAAATGACCGGCCAGATCACGCATATTGTTCCAATAATGATTGCGGTTTTAATCAGTAACGCGATCGCGGCGCTTTTGCAGCCCAGTATATACGACAGCATTATCCTCATCAAGAAGTTGCCGTACTTGCCCGACCTGCTGCCATCTAGTTCAGGTATATTTTTAATTCAGATTATATCCTTCAACTTTTTAATTTACAGTTTTAATATATTTTGTACGCTCGCTATTAACCCTGTCGTTTCGCAAAGCATTTCGTACGGAATTGATGGGCAAGGTAATCTTGACGCACATCCGTCGCAAATTTATTCCGAAAAAAAAAAAAAACGGGAAGATCTTACAAAAGATGCTTATCGCAGGAATGTACAACGTCTACGTGGAAGATTTCATGGTTCGCGACGTGAAGTACATATGGCACGGCATCACCTATGAGAAGCTGAAGGAGATCCTGAAGGAGAATCGTAAATTGCGCGGATTTCCGCTGGTCGACAATCCGGACTGCATGATTCTGCTTGGATCGATACAAAGACTCGAATTAATCAAACTCATCGAGAAGCATATCGGTCGTGAGAGAAGGCTTCAGGTAATCGGAAGTTTCAATTAATAAAATTCATCAAAGAAAGTTAAAAAATTATTATGCTTATATAATGTAACAATTAAAACCTCTACGTTAATTTAAAACAAACGAAAAATTCATTTAATTTTTATTGCACTTCTTACGTGTCTGCAACACCTCACATTATTGATATCTCAGGTCGCGCAAAAGTGGCACAAGGAGGCGGAGGAGAGGGCGCGTGAAGAAATGGAACGGCAGTTGCGAGAACAAGAGAGAACGAGAAGACCGTCCAGGTTCGAGGTCATTCCGGCACCGGACATTCTCAAAATGCAGCGACAGAGTGTTAACGATCTGAGCATGTCACCGAGCGGCGATCATGTAAGTCCCCCGTTCAAGATTGACTTTGACGTCAATCGACGCCAGCACACGTGGTGGTTATTACCACACACATTCTCTCCATACTTTTTTTTATGTTTTTTCACGCGCGGTTTTTTCTACTCGCCTCGACGAAGAGTCAACAGTTTTTTCTTTATTTTCTTGGATTTTAGCACATTTATCATTCGCCAGTGTTCGGCTCGCAACCGAAGAAGTCGATCTTGAAGAAGACGAATTCCTTCACATTGAAGGGATTCAGTCCGTTAGTCAGTCCGGCTGTAACACCCTACACGACCGTTACAGGCGCGGAGAGCAGGCAAGTTGCCAAGTTGCTATTCTTTATGGTAACAATCTTTACGTAGATACACAATACATTTACGATTAAACTTTTATTTTAATAAAACGAATATTACGAAACTTTCTTCAGGAACATAATAAGTTCTATCTTATGCACATAACAGAATACGTCTGGCGTTCGAGGCGATCTTCCGCAAATCGGCCACGTTGCAAGACGTGGATCCTGATCCGGAGCTGGGATCAGGCACAAGACGCGACAGTCAGGAAGCTATGAACGTGCCACCTCACACGCCCATGTTAGCGCCCAGTCCGGCGACGTCGAAGAAAGTGCAATTGGTAAGTCAATATCTTTTTTGTTTGTTTTTTCTACACAACTATTATAACATTCATCACGTGTCAATCAGCCTCGAGAAAGAGTAATAGACATGTCGGCGGAAGATCAAAAGAGATGGGAGGAGAGCGAAATGGCGCTCGAGGTAGACTTTTCGAGATGTCACATCGATCCGGCGCCCTTCCAGCTGGTCGAGAGAACGTCCCTGCTGAAGGTTCACAGTCTCTTCAGCATGGTCGGTGTGAATCACGCTTACGTAACGGCGATCGGCAGACTGGTCGGTGTCGTCGCGTTGAAAGAAGTAAGTGCACCGAATAGCGAGTCAGTATTTTTTCTCTGAATGTATTGAATATGTAAAATTTGAAAAAAAAAAAAAAAACAAATCTCACACTTTGAATTCGATTTGATTTGATGTTTAGTTGAGGAAAGCCATCGAGGACGCGAACGCTGGGATTTTACCGATGCATTCCGAGTCGCACATCGCCGCGTCGATTTCTAGTCTAGCAAAAAGCGAAACGGACACGGAGAGCAACAAGAACGTCAACGCGATAAACTCCATAGGCGCAATAAGTTCCATGGAGAACGAGAAGACGGACAACGTCTGAGGAAGAAGCGTCGAGCCGAGACGAGCGAAACTTTACATTGTGATAGCCGCATCGCGACGACCGACACGCGATGTGACCTAGATAAAAGCTGCGAGAGCCGTGTTTTAGCGATTTTATTCCTCCCTTTTCCTTTCGCGATTGTTTTGTGCGGGACTCGGACGGGATACGTTGTACACATACGACGCGACGCCAACTCTCAAACACTTCTCTCGTACTTAAAAAAAAAAAACCTAAGATGAAAAAATGTCGAAAGTTCCGAGAAGAAACGCGTGCATGAGGTTTAGTATTAAGCAAAGCGAAGAAATTTTTGGAATTTTTCTATTTTATATTTCCAACGCGTAATGTAATATTAAGTGATTTCTTTCAGGCATGTTGCGCGCGCCTCTCAACTTGCGCGAAACACATATTTCTTACATATATATATATATATATATATATATATATATATATATATATATATATATATAGGTATATATATATAGGTGTGTATGTCAGGTATTGAACTTTCGAGGTTCGATTTTGTCAGGATGTAGCAGGCGCAGCTTTCGTTATATCTATAATTAGAATAATGTATGTTTGCGTAATACGCGCGCCAGATGATGCCACTGATCGCGATAATATTCGCCGGATCTGAACCGCGAAAGTAAGTCACGACAAATTGTCGGAACGAAAATTGCAATTTGGATTTCGAATATTCGCACAAAGACATTTGTTTTTTTTTTTTTAAACAAAAAGAATGCGACGCGCGAATCGCAAGCTTACCGCTGCTGTTTACATACAAGTGATATGATAAAAACAATTTTCTTAGAATATGCAAGTCTCGGCGGAGCGAGAGTGACACGAGGTGTCAAAAACAAAACGATAATGTAATCGAATACTTTCCCGAGTGAAAAATGCATAATTTCAGGTCGCAAACCTCCAAGGTTAATTTGCGACGATACATAGCCTCTACGTATAAAATCATTCTGAACTCGTACACCCTCTTTCTTCCCCCCCCCTATGCTCTTTAGTGTAATTATCTGACCATGGTTGTGCCAGTCTATTATTTATTAACGTAATTGATAATTAATTGTTATTTCCTAGTCGTTATTATTTACTATATTCCGTTCTCCGGCTGCGAGAGTTGTTAATAATTAAGAAAGATGGATTTTACATTCCGTGGATTTCCTCGTTCCCTAAATTGTACATTTGTTATATCGCATATGTGAATTATTTGTTTACTGTAAATATAAACACCTTCCTTCTCACGCGCACGCGCGCGAATATAAGAAGATATTATAAATAATTTATTATATATTCACGCGCGTGTATGTGTGTGAGTAAGAAACTTCTATTGCGGAGTTGCACTTGCAATAATGCACTTACGTGAGATTCTCTCGATAAGAAGATAGGAATAAGTTTGATATTGTAAATTCGATAAGAGACACAGATCGCTATTATATTTCAATTTAGGCTCTGTTATACACAACACACAATTTGTTCGACATGTACACACGCTATATTCGAGGTGACATCAGTAATATCACATTTACAAGCGCAAATAAAAATACCTCATCATGTGGCAACGAGTTATAATATTTTTTTTTTTTTTTACATATGAGAACAAGAGTTTCGACATCTTTATCGATGACGACGAGTCTCCATCTTTCGATTTTTATTTGTTCAGACTGAACCAACCGTGCAGACACTTGGGCACCGGGCCGGGTGTGTCGAAGGTAGCTCTCGCGATTTCCGTCATTGTCACGGCGTCCAGAATCAGCAGACCGACTCGAGTTTCCTTTTCCGCCCAGACAAGCGAGCTTAAGATTACACCGTCGTCTTCGTTCTACACACAAAAAAGAATAAAAACAAAATAAGAATATCAAGAATGTAACGTGTTTTTGTTTTGTACGAAGAGAAAGTTTACCGTTCCGTTTGGGTTCGGTACAAAGATCGGCTCGCTCGGATAAACACCCTTCTCTTGCCACGTTTTCTTGGTTTTTTGGAAAATATCGACCTTGATGAGCTGCGAACAAAGTCTCGATTAATCGCACGAAGTAAAATAATTCACGTAAAAAACGTCAATACAAATATTATCGCACACACACGCTTATTTATTTACACATGAAGTAAGTCTCAACTAGGTGCGGTTTTTTTAGACGCTCGAGAAAACTACTAACTGTTCCAGGATTTTCCAAGTCCATGTCGCAGGAGATCGCGTAGAAATATCGATATTCCCTGCCGAGATGGAAATCCGCGTTTATTCGCGGCGTCTCGCAGCCGACGTCGCAAAGAAGTTCCGGCTTCACGAAGATTCTGCCGTCAGACAATCGGTGAGCAGTCGGTTTCTTTCGCAACGCGTTTCGATGCTCGTTCTGCCAGTGCTTGGCCTCGACGCTGTACTCGATCACGTCCGAATTTCTGACAACGTCGAAGTCGGATACGCCGTTGTTATTCCGATACGATTCCGAATTCTGATACACCGTTTCGATCGTGATGAGATTCTGCTGAGGAGGTGTGTCGACGGACGGTTGCTTCATCGGGAACACGAAACGCAGCGGTCTGGCACGGAACAGTCTCGCAAAATCGCCATTTTTGTGCATATTCTACAAAAGATTCCGCGCATTTTAACAGATCAATAAATTTATAAACTTGTACAATTTTCACGCCTGGTAAAATTTATTTGTTTATACGGATATAATTTGTCATAATGTAAAACAACAACACACACCTTCATCGAATCGATGTACATGTACTCCAGCATTTTGGAATCTCGATAGCAGCATATGTCCAGCACGATGTATTCCTTGTCGCGGGTCTCGAACTGATTGATGGTGTGAAGATAGAAGAAGGTCTCCGCGACGAACGTTCTCACCGCTTCGCCCGTTTCTCTCGAAATCACGTGAAAGAGTGTCTATTCGATATAACGAAAAAAAATACTTTGTTTTAATATACAGACTAATAATTTCATTTGATCGACTATTTCAATTTTATTGACGACGAGAAAGAAAACGTACGGGTTCGTTCTCGTGCCACTTCAAGCAGTTCGCCATCGCTTCCTGCGTAAAATGAGAAATCGTCGAGGTAATCAAAGAGATCGCCAACGGTTGCTCTATGATGATGAAGTAGTTCTCGGTAATGCCGAAGGTGTGCATATACGACGGATTCAGCACCCACCTGCTCGGCACGCTACCCACGATCGTCGCTTGATCGAACATAGAGAGTTCTTTCTCCTCTCCGAACTCGTCTGACATTACAAAGGAAAATAAAAAATTTAATCAATTGTTTAAAAACAAATCATTTTAGATATTCAACAAATGCATGCCATATATAAATCTCAGAAATGTTTACTTTTATTTTATTTTTTTTATTATAAATCTAAACATTTTAAAATTTCACTAAGTTTATGTTCCTTCATAAATATAAAATTAATTTTTATGCGTTTGACACTATTATTTCAGTAAGCTGTGTTCGAGTCTTGTTTCATCAAAATCTGATTTCAATATAAAATTTATGAAAAAATTATTTTACCAACAATCACGCGACTCGGAGAGAAGCGTACAATGTTGTATCGAGGTCCAAACGGCGTGATGCTCATCCCCACGTTATAAACTGTGCCGTCGTCCATAACATGAGGATGCGACGTGTGATTTACAATGTTAACATATTTCGACACGTTTACCTGAAAAAACAAATGAAAGACAAATGTAATCCTATATAAAAAAGGTCATTTGGACCGAGAAGTGCGCGTTTTGGAGCCGAATGTATCGCATCTATTGTTGCCTCTTTTTTCCGCGTTGCCGATTGATTGATTGGTTGATCGAGTCGAATCGAATCGGTAAGATCGGGAGAGTAAATAATGAAAAGCGATTTTGAGACAGGTCGTCGTTTATGTAGAGAAAATTAAAAACGTAACTAAAGTCACGTAACAGAAAAGAGTAGAAAAACAACACGTAAAAATAACGTGACTGTAATTTATATTATATATAACATTAAATAATACATATTATATATATAATTTATTATATATTTATAATATTATACTTTATATTGTATTATATGTATTATATACATACTACAGTAATGTCACTGACCTCGGCCGCGCGGCCTTGGCGCAGTCACTGACCTCGGTCGCGAGGCCTTGGCGGGGTCATTGACCTCGGCCGCGCGGCCTTGACGGGGCACTGACCTCGGCCGCGCGGCCTTGGTGGGGAGGAGTCACTGACCGCAGTCGCGCGACCGCGGCGGGGTCAATGACCCCGGTCGCGTGACTGCGGTGAAGTCACTGACCTCGGCCGCGCGACCGCGGCGGTGTTACTGACTTCGGTCACGTGATTACGGTATATACAATATATATGTATATATATACATATATGCGTATGTGTGTATTATATATAGATATAGAATATTACATATAATATATATATTCTCTTTTTTACCCTTTTTCCTGTCAAGTAACTTTAGTCACGTGTTGTTTTTCTACTTCTCTCTCTCACTATTTTTTGAGTTTGATTTTCATGCGTTATTTCTGACATTTCTCATATGTGTATTATATGGTTTATAAGACGTATATACTATCTGTCATCGCGGTGACAGGTTGTGTTCACTGACAACACGTTAAATAAAAATAACAATAGCGTGCGCGTAGCGCGCGCCTGTGTTGTGCTAGTATTATAAATTGTAATCAAATAATTACCGCAGGTACTCATGAGCTGAAACAAACACATAGAAGCACATATTTTAGTTTTTACTTACTCTGTCCATTGTTTCTAAAGTCTTCGGATCGATCCTGTGAATTATCGGCGCTTCCGTGAAGGTGTAATATTCGTCACCGAAGGGATACACCGAGATCATCGAATTATCCGATATTTCTTCGCCTGGAGTGAACACCGAGGCGATTCTGCAAAAATCATCGTGTTTAAAAACAAATAAAATTCAAACGTAATTGTTATCAGAAATTCTATAATTATAATTAAGAAATAACTAAACAAAAATTCTTAGTTGCGTATAAGAGCAACGGACGATCTTTTTGTATTCAAACACATCGGAACTCTGTGTTAATTTATTAATTACCAATTTATAATTTAATGTCCTTCTTTTTTCTCGACTTTACCTTTGAAAAATACTCTGACAAGGATCTGGCGTCGCGCAGGTGCCGAACTCGGTGATAACTATTCTCTGAGCGACCATGTTTTTCTTATACACCTCCGTCTGGACGAATCGTCGCTGGTAGGTAATTTCTCCATCCGCAATTCCGAATCTGCGAAATTATCCGCGTCCGGGATATATAAGCGTCTCAGCTATAAAGACGCGTCTCTCAACGTAAATTATTTATACCTACCTATGTAACAAGGCGGAGCTGTCGAACAGATGCTGGAAACGGTACTCGCCGACTTTTAAGTTGCCTGGTCCATTTCGCAACAAGGTGCCCTTCAACCACTTGGGAACGTTGCCGATCACGTTGTTCGATCGAAGGGGCTCGATCACTTCCTGCTCGCAACTTCTCATCCATACCGAACAGTCGCAATTTTCGTAGTAAAGCTTGTCTTGTTCGTTTCCCGCGTTTTCGTCGAATATCTCATTTGCGTTCTGGTCACGCTGCAGATAAAACGAGAATCTGCGTGTGATTGAACTGTGCGAACACTTTTGTAAAAAATATTGTTCCATCTCTGTCGCAAAAATGTGTGTTTTGAGAGACTCACGTAAACTTCCGATTTCAGCAACTTGCCGCATTTTGCGTGTTCGAAATTATCCAACACGTTTGCCGTACACAACGATTCGTCAGTCGGAGTTAGGAGATAATTAACGTATTCCATCTTTTTTTCTTATTTTTTTTTATTATTTTGTGTTAGACGTTTCTTGTAAAATATGTACTTTTTTTACATTAAGACAAAGCGCGCGCGCGCGTACGAAAAATACTCGATACTTATTTTAAACTCAAAACATAATTCGCATGTCAAATTGCATTTGCTGACTTATCGATAAAAAAAACTGTTGTTAAAAATGTTTATATTGCTTTTTTTATAAGATTTTTCGATTTTTATTAAACAACGATCGATTGCACATCACAAAATTTATATCTCGACGCGCATACACACACATGTAGCAACTTCGGAGTGCATCTATGTATAGAAATTGTATCTTAATCACGTTTCTTCGTCTTCGTCTTCGTTTGCGATGTTCACGGATTCCGATATGAGCAAGATCAGCGAGAGAATTTGATGCACCCTTATGTGAGTGAAATCCATCGTTCACGTCCGAACAGAGAATGTTCGCGACGTGCAACTTCGTCGACCTTAAAAGCGATTTCATCCTTTGACGTAACTCTAATCCGATTTAACCAGTGAAAAACACTAGTTGATCGAAGCCTCTAATCGGCTCTCACGCTAGCGGTATTCCGTCCGGATTATCGTGCACACGACAACGTGCGACACGTGAATGCAGGTCGCATGCGTGACACACATTCTTGAGATTAGAAGAAAAATGCACGTGAACTCTCGGCGAAAAGTTGCAGTTCTGACGCAAATGGTTTATTCTCGTTGTTCGGCAGCGACGAAGATTAAATGAAGTCTTTTGCGCATTTCATGTGGCTCTCACTCGGATAAGCGGTTATCTGATACCCACGTCCGTTTTATTGATCGAAACTCGCAATCGTTCACGTTTTGCAGTTTCGATTTTTGTCGCCTCAAGTATTCTTAATTAGCGTGTCGAGTAAACGATAAATATTAAGTGGTAATTAGTTGTGAATACTTTGAATAATCGAAAAACGTAAAATCTCAAATTTTATGTGACGTAAATATTCTGGAATATCAGAAATATTTGTTTAATTGATTACACGATCTTGGAAATAATTAATGCACGATTGATTCAATTGTCGTTCGAATTGCATTTGCCTTTGTATATTTAGCAAAAGAGACGCGACATTTTGTATACGATATTTTATATAACATTTTTTCACACATCACGTAAGAGGATATTTCTTTTCTTTTTTTTTTCACTCTATATTGACTGTACATGCAAACACACTTCTGATGAACAGGTACGAGTTCCTACAACATGCGACTAAATACCTTACGCTTGTCTTTTTTGTTTTTTTTTTCACCCTTTACCGGAAACAAACTGCCGATGCTGTCGCACCACGAAGGCGGCAATGCGGACATTCTCGCAAACTGCGTGTTATTGGCAATGTTGTGGACGTAAGCACTGACGACTTAAATTTGGCAAACTTGCACCAACCGAGAGATGCAGTCTCGTTCATTTGGACCGTAACCAAAATTTGTTCGTTGCGCAGTGCTGTATAAAGCAACGATAAAAGCAGAACTGAAATCAATGAGACGCATTTTATATACTTGACAATTGCTTCGTCATTTTTCTTAATTTTTTTTGCGATAAAGATATTTTGTTTTTAAGCGCTTGTTTTGAAGTGACGAAGCAACAGTTGTGTTGGTATACTTCGAAGTCTGTCTTTACGCATTTTTACACGCACGTATCTCTCGTCTCTTTACGTATTCTCGATAAAAATGTGCTCATTTGCACAAACACATTAGCAGTACAGATATCTTTTTGTTCTCTTATCTGTGCGAAATGTAAAACGCAGCGAGGGACATAGCGTCTCCGCTGTCATCGAGATTCTCATGATGATGCAACGCAGCTAGCCAGAGTCCGGCTTATATTGATTAATTAATAATTTAATAAATATTTTTTGATTTCTTCAAGATGATACATGATACTTTTCTTGTTTCACATCTAACTTTACCTGAAAGTTAGTTTTTATCAGAAAGTTTCGGACATTCTTCTATTAGAGTGATTACATAAAATAAGTACAGATTTTTTCTTGGAGTGACGGGGAAAGCGCGCAAACATTTTTTTATCAACGCGTACATGTGACGCCTAAGAAGTAGACAACTCACCACACGTGGAAGTATGACACAATGGGTTTGCCTATCTTCCCAGATACTATAGTAGAGACGCGTTCGTTTTTCAGTTCTTTTCTCCAACTTACATACACATTGAATTTTCCGCTCACAATTAAACTCATTCTCTTTTTTACCGGATGTTTTCCATTGTCGTCTGATAAAAAAATGAGACCTTGTTTATCGACAAAATATGACCACTCGATATCAACAAAAAAAAAACTTTATACTGCCGTTTGTATCTTAGTTCTGTGTAATTAATCAATTGCATTTAAACATGGAATACTTATTTAAAATACGTAACTTATTTTAATATATTTTTAAAAATATATTTGTGACATATCGTTGATTTTCGTTGTTTGCTCTATGTTTGTTCATCGACCTATGAAACATTATCATGACGGTTTTGCGTGGATGGGCTCTGGTGCAGGACTTGTCTCCGCACATAAAATTGCAAATCAGTTTTAAACAAAACGATTGTAAAGAAATTTATACACAATATCTAGAAAATTTGTGATTATTGCTCATATCGAGAAAAGAACAGCATTTTCTGTGACGATATTTTATTTATCACATGAAACGTCAACTCAAAAATATAAATTGTTGGAATTATTTATTCAAAAAATTTATTATTTTAAGATATTTATTATTTTAAGATATTTTTTTTTGAATATTGAATGTTTATGCTTGACGCGTAAATATAATGTGCGCGGAAATTTCAAAAAACTCGATACACGACTTCATGCGGGAATTGCATTCCTGCAACTGACTGTACGCGCACGTACACGCACGCACACAGTCATATGTGTATCGCACATGCTCGCACCACGTGGTAGTCACGTGCTTGCAAAGCGAGCGGCACGGCCGCATAAGCGCTCGCGCCAATAAAATCGAATTAGTGCCGCCACATACCCGGTGACTGGAAAACAATGCGGTAGTTTTCCTCTCACTCGCATTTTTTTTCTGCGGATCGCCTAGTTAAAGAGACCGCAGCTTTCGATTCGTTTCCACGGCGATTTGCGTTAGCGCGGCGTGCGCATTACGCAAATCTCGAACGAAACGTTCGAGAAGGTGTAGTAACTGCCGGTTTGATTAAGCTTGATTGACAAGATAAGACGCGTAAAAAGAGCCGAGAAAAGATCGGTTTAAAAACCGAATAATCCGTAAACGAGCGGTGGCTAATTTTTTCCGACTTCAATTGGCGTGATGACCTTCTCTGAGAAAGGCGGGTTTTTCTTCTTACATACTTACACCTTCTCTTCTGAAGTATCCGTTACGTTACGCTAATCTCGTTACAGCCTGTTTATCATTCGATTTTTTTATCATCATACAGTAAAAAGATAATTGTATTGAAATTTGCACGAACTCTCTAATTATATCGACTTTATATAGTCCGAGTTATATAGTCAATAATGACGCGTTCTATTTTTAATCATCTTCTTTGTCACGCAAAACGTGTCGTGACAACACGTGCGTTTCGCACAAGTTGAGTTGGTGTCGCGTGTCGATTTCACTTTGCTTTTAACGTAATTCGAGAAAACTTTACGGTCAAGGTCGCAATAAATATAATGTAATATCTATTGGGTTAACAAAAAAAAAACTTTGATGTTTTTAAAATTATTTTTCGTGTACCGATAAAAAAGTTCGTACTTGTGTGTGCAATCACATTTGTGTGATCGCCAATGATTCTCTCGCGAAAATTTAGCGGACAAGTCTGTCTCATCTTTTCGCGCAACACGCTTTAAATCACCAATACCAGTCATTTATCTTTTGTACACACACACCCGTTATATATTCTGGAAATATGCGCTTTCCGCTCTTTCATTTGGCGTATTTGTCTCGCGACGGGCGGGCATCGCTGTAACGAGATATATTCCAGCACGTTAGCAGCGTCACGTACACACGCGTTTAATTTTCCACACTTCTGTACATCAAATTGTTTACTCATCTCGTTAACGAGATTGCCTGGCGCGAAAATAATTAATACATGTGTGCTCGCTCGGTGTCACTTAATTAAAAAGTTAAAAAAGAAAGAACGAACGGAGCAACTTTCAAAGTCATCCCTCGGCTTCATTTCGGGATTCTTCCGAGTTGCGTAAATGATCAATCGATGTTTAAATACCGCGAGAACTGCGTATAGAGAGAGAAATATTTTCTTTCGTATGTGTATAAATTTATTCTCGCATTTTTATATCGTAGATTTGTTTGTTTTGTAACTAAGCTGCCACATGTGCGCTACTTCGATTTTTTATAGTTTTTTTTACTGATATTAATTATCTGCAACGGAGTTTAACTTCTCTGTCAGAGAAAACGTATCAATGTTATGCTCGAGCGACCGATTCAAATCGCAATGTAAAACTCGTATTATTAAACAATTTAACAATTTTTGATAAAGTAATTCCCACGATTAAAAGTATTATAGCAGATGTAATCTCCCAAAGCGAGCTCACTTAAAAGTGTCAAGTGTACAAATAAATTAGCTTTATTAATTATCAATTTTAATAATAGAAAAATATACCAAATGTTTTTACAATTTTTATATTATTATAGATACAATTTCACTTCTGTTTGATTAAAAAAAAATAAAGTGTGTTTATTGTAAAAAAGTAAATTCTGTAAAGAATTAAAAAAATAAAATTTCTAAACAACAAAATAATATTTTATCTTAATATATTTGTGCAAGAATATACGATCAGACGTAAAATTTATATTTTGTGGCGAATATTTGTTTGTGAGTCTCCATTCGCACAAAATGCGAAATTGTCGACGGATGATCGACAGAAGATCGGAGATAGAAAATTTTTTTTGATTGATAACACGTAATGAATCTATTGATTTTAATGTTCCATTTAATGTTTCACGTGACAGATTATCAATATCTTTTAGTATCGCGATTATATCGTATTTATTGAGCGTTATCGTGCGCAAGTAGATATTAACGTGCTCGGTGTTCTTCGTAGAGTATAATCGTTCGATTGTACGCGCGAGATAATCATCAGAAACTGCTGCTCGTAAACATTTTTTTTAAGAGATAAGTAATTATTTGTGTAGATGTAAAATATAAAAAAAAAAAGAATAAGAAACGTTTTTCGAGCAAGAGCAGTTGACGAAATTAATCGCGTTATTTATAAAAGCGTTTTCGACGTTTCAGCTTACTTGCTCTGTTCAAAAGAACAGAATAAGAGAGAAAAATCGATTATGTAACATTGTTATAATTGTTTTTAAACATTTTGATACAAAATCGAATCCATGATCGGACCCATACTCCGCAAACAATTACGTCAAATCTCAAATAAACAGAAATAAGCTCTCACTTTTTTGGATCATTTTCGAAAAGAAGTTGTTTGTTCAACGACACGTCATCAAAAGAGTTATTTACGAACAAAACTGACGGGAGCCGCTCATGGTATGTCATCGGAAACGTTATTTTCGTTTGTTTGATGAAAATTGTACAGGGTGTCAAACAAAATTTCGTAATGTAACATCGTGTGTGATCGATAACGTGGAAGAACGTGATCTCACGTATCCACTTTTTCCACACATCGAAAGAATTGTTTGGATCATTTGATCGATTACAAATCGATCAACTTTTTATCCAGATCAATTCAATCAAAAAATCGCTGCTTGGAACACCGTGTATCGAACGTGGCTTCGCGACTGCATGTCAATCTAATTCAGCAGCGCGCGATACAAATCTCTAAGGCAAAGCTCTCCGCTATCGTCTTTCGGACCCGCGGCGGCAACTTCCAGAGAAAATCGTCGCGAACGTGCTCAATTGCTCTCGCGTCCGCAAATAACCGATCGATATTGACTCGAAGCAAATTGCAACGCGCGCAGCGGCTAATTTCCACGTCTCCCTGCTGCTACTGTTTTTTTGATCGATATGTGTCAACAGGTGTCGATCGTGATAATGAAAAATACTTGCGGAAATCAGTCGCTTCGCGCGCGCAGATCGAGACGTGACAAACAAATCGACCATGTGTGTATTTTTTTTCACTGTGTTTTTATTTTTAGATTTTTCTCTCGAGGTCGCGCGCGATAATACGATCGCGCCACAGAGATCACACGCGCGCGTTCTCCAAAAAGAATAAATCTAACTTTATATGTGACCTACATTTTGTCCCCTAACGAAAAT